CAAAGCGGCTATATTTTCCTCCTCGTTGTCTTTTTGGCGTTCCTACGCGCGGGTTTGCACGCCGCTGCCCCGCATTCTCCTTCGCCTTCTGTCTCGGCCTCGTTTGCAGCGAAAGCCAAGTCCTGGATCCCCCTCCTTGGTTCGAATGCAGCCGCACCACATCCTATTCCCGGCCTCATGGATGTCGCTGAGGCCCGCTTCCGTGCCAAGGTCGCCCGCCAGAGTTCCTCGCTTCCCGCTGCTGTTGCAGAGTACAAACGCCGCTACGCCCGCCCGCCGCCCGCTGGCTTCGACAAGTGGTACAACTTTGCTCTCAAGCACAACTTTGTTATGATCGACGAGTTCGATGCTGTCGTCGACGACCTCGAGCCGTTTTGGAAGCTCGAGGGCTGGGAGCTGCGAGAACGCGCAGCTTTGGTCGGCGCATTGCCTAGTGTCGATCTAGTGAGGGTGAGGGAGGGCAAGGCGGACACCGTGCGCGGAGGGGATGGCAAGTGGGAGGATTCGGAGGTTAGTGCGCGCGCGAATGGGTTCAAGGCAATGTTGGGCAAGTTCGTTAAGGATGTGGGTGCCGCTCTATCTATTTTGCATTCTCACTCACGAGCTCGAAGCTCCCCGACATGGATTTCCCCATCAACGCAAAGGCAGAGGGTCGTGTTGTCGTGCCCTGGGAGCACACCCAGTATCCGAATGTCACACAGGACTGTATGCAAAAAAACCAAAAAACACAACCTTGCATTACAGCCCACACCATCCTCGACCCCGGCTCCTTCCGCCCCGACTGGGCTGGCTCTGGCTCTGTCTGGGATGCCTGGCGCCGTACCTGCGACCCCACCGCCCCCGCCGCAGGCTATACAGCTCTGTCAACGCCGGCGTGGGCTCCGCAGCAGTTGGCGTCGGCGGCGCCGCGATCGCCTCGCCGACGCGTGGCGCGCGGGCGTGTTGGGCGCGAGCACGACGCGCGATGAGAAAAGTGAGAGTGTGACAGCGCAAGCCCACCCCGGCGTCGGCACAGGCAACGCCGAGTTTGCGTTTGTGCGCGAGACGGGCGCGGCGGCGGTGGATTTTTGTGACCGGCCGGCGGCGCGATATGAACAGGGTACGTAGCGTAGCCGGCGTATCTTACTTACACTATTGACACTTACACCCACGCAGGCCACTTCTTCTCCGATTGGCGCGTCCTTCCGGTGCTTGTGCCTGTCTTTTCGCCCGCGCGCGCGGCTGGGTTTGGCGATATTAGGGTGCCGAGCCATTATTATTATGGGGGGACGAAGAGGTGCGTCGCCTCTCCCTTCATCTTATTCTCTTCACTCGCTCAATTTTTCACCTTTGACGCTCACGCTAGATACACATACGCATGGGACCCGATCAACCTTGAGCAGCGCAAGGTGGACGCGATGGAGGTACCGTGGGAGCAGAAGCGGGACGTCGTTGGTGCGTCTCGTCGAGGAGGAGGCTCATGTTTGCTAACATCCTTGCATTACATCATAGGTGGCGCGGTGCGAGCACGGGCGGGGGCAGCAGCCCGCCGGGTTCGGGCGGGGATATCAGAGGCATCGGTGAGTGCGCATCTCCTGGGATGGGTGGTTCCAAACGACTGACGCGACTTTCCCTTCCAGATTTGTCCGCATGTCCTCCGTGGGTCTGGTCCCCGGCACGGTCGCGGACGCACAGCGCACGACGGCCGTGACGTTCGCGGTGCCGCCGCCGCAACCGGAGCTGGGGTTTGCGCAGGGAAGAGCGCAGGGTGCGTACATCTCCCTCCACACGCGAAGGCCGTTAATCCTCCCCGCAGAGCCCTACACATACACTCCGCCCTACTCCTCCACCTCTATCTCCACCGACACAGGCTTCACATACACGACCGTCCCCATCCCCCTCGCAGCGCTCAATGCAGACGTGATGGACACGGCGTTCGTCAAAGCGGTCGTGCCTGTTGGGGCGGAGCATCGATTTGGGGACAGCACCGAGTTGGGGGTTGCGTGGGGGTACAAGTACCTCCTGGACCTCGACGGCATGGGGTATAGCGGGCGCTTCATGGCATTCCTCGCGAGCGACAGTGTGCCGGTCAAGGCGACGGTGTATGACGAGTTCTTTAGTGGGTGGATCGAGCCGTGGTGCGTATCTCTTTCGCCCCTCGTGCAGCCAAATAAATAATTAACGAACGAACCCAGGGTGCATTATATCCCCCTCTCCCCGACCTACGCCGAGATCTACAACATCGTCTCGTACTTCTCCGGCCCGCCGCCGTCTGCATTGCGCGCGGCCGGTCTTCCCCTCCTCCCCCCTCCGCCGCTGCCTTCCGCGGCTCGACGTTCCGCGCACCGGGGCCCGCGGACGACACCCCGGATGGCGAGACGGGCGCGGGACTGGGCACGGGTGCAGGCGCGGACGCTGGCATCGAAGTGGGCGGGGAGGAGCAGGTTGGATCGAGCACTGGTGGGGAGGTCAAGAGGCCGTTAGGGCAGATGGAGAAGCGCGAGGCGATTCGGAAGCAAGATGCTTGGAAACAAGACGCCTTGAAGCAGCAGCAGCAGCTGTCAGTGCGGAGCGCAGCGCAGGAAGAGGGTGACCGGCGGCTGCGGCGCATTGCGCGCGCGGGGAAGCAGTGGAAGCAGACCATTGGTCGGACGGTCGATATGGAAGGTATGTCGTCTGTGCCCCTCTTCCGCGCCCTCCCCGTTTCCATGCTAATTGCGCTGTTTTCCCTTGTTCTCAAGTGTACGTGTACCGCCTGGCACTGGAGTATGCGCGGCTGTGGGCAGACGACCGCGAGGCCATGTCGTACAAACCTTGACCCCCACCGCCTGCTTCTTGGTTTTTTGCTTTCGCTTTCGCTATGTATCATCATGATCCTCGCCGTATTTTCGCAGGCAAGGAACTCGAGACTGTAATATAAATTACGCAGACGCATACGCCGTTCACGCATACGTTAGATCCCTCCCCTAGATTATTTCACTGGCCTCGCGTTCGTAATAGTTTTCGTCCTTCACCACCGCAATAACAGTGTAAGCTACATAGAATGAAATACAGAAAAGAGATATTGTTCCTTGAAATCTTTCTTTCACCATCACATTCCGCTCGACGCTTGGAAACTCAGCACAAGTATTCTCCATGCCCACGCATGACCGACTTCCCTTCTCCTGTCCTGCAGGCCTGGATGCTCGCTGCGCACTCATATCGCTGGCTGACTGTAGCGTTTACCTGCATTTGATTGTGTCGATACAAGTCACTAATCGCGTTCCTACTACTACCTAGCGGTGAGGGAGTCTCCTCAAATTGGGAGCAAAACGTTTTCTGTCTGCGCGCTTGCTGCGCGCTCAATATTGCGCCTTCTCCGCAGCAGAAGATCGGCACCGGTACCGCACAGCCCGCAGCGATAAGCGCCTAACCATTTAAAGGCTGTAGCCCTTCACACACGCTTCCTCAATCCCACCATGCACAACATTATTGTGGTACTCGTTTCCGTCCTTGTAGGTCTGGCGCTCTCGGTCTTGTGAGTTCAGTTGCGCTGTCGCCGCACTAGCCTCTCACCCAAGGATCCACAGTGTCCTAGCGCTCACTTTGGGGATTACGATTCCCTTTGTCGGTGTGCTCGTCCGTTACCGAGCGAACTACACCCCCAAGACAGGAGCGGTGCGTCTGGATGACGAAGCTGGCCCTGGCGCTGCTCCTCGCGCCGACGCATCGATTGGGTATTTCGGAATGATGAAACGTGTGCACCGTCTCGAGGGATGGGCGGGCCTGTACAAGGGAATCAGTGAATAGTCTATTCATTCATCGAACCCGCCCGAATTGACCCTTGCTCTCAGTGCCAACTCTTATCACCTCTCTAATTGCCGTCGTGGTGGTCGCGCCCGTCAGCGTCGTCCTCCTGCAATTCCAGGACCCCACTGCGCCACGGCCCCATTTCAGCCTCGTCCCGTGGAGTAAGCTCCCTCCGTGCATTGCATTCCTCGTTCCACGTTTAACCTTGTCACAGCCGTCGGTTTCGGGTTGTCCGTCATCCCCGCTCTGCTACTTGTTCCCATGCAAATTATCACCAACCGGTTAGCCTTCCCACTCTGTCCCTGCCTCAGCTTGCTAACTCCCACCCGCGCACACAGTGCAATGACCACCCCACACAAACTCGCCGCCTTCGCCCCCCGCGCTGCGCTGCGCGTCTTACTCTCCCCGGCTGAGCGCGCGCAGCCTTTGCGCCTCTACCTCGCCCCCGGTGTCGCCCTCGCCATCGCCCTCGAAACCCTCATCGCCCCGTTGCCCAACGTCCTCCGCCTCGCCACGACAGGAAGCCTCGCCCTCGTCCTCGGAACTGCGGTGCCCGCGGTGGTGCTCACCACCGCCCTAGTCACTCCCCTGGAGGTCCTCACTGCGCGTCTCACTCTCCAGCGCCGCCCCGGCGCTGCGCCCGCAGAAATGGACGCGGTCGTTGTACCTCTATACTCGACGGAGCCCGTAATCGAATTCCGCGAATCGGGCGCGGACGCGGAGGAGGCGCCGTACACCGGCTTGCTCGACTGCGCGCGCAAGATTGTCGCGGAGGAGGGCTGGGGCGTGCTGACCCGCGCGTGGTGGCTGACTGCCCTCGGAGTACTGCTGACGCTGGGGACGCCCGAGATGATTCCGCGCCCCCCACCGGTGTTCTGAGAGTGCTGACTGCCTCCCGGCCTAGCACTGCTCTGCGCTGATGACTGAAAAACGCATCTCATCTTATTATATAACGCGAGCTGAAAAATGTCAAATGTAGTACGTACTTCAAGTAGGAATGCAATTGTATTCATCGTGTATGGGCCACAACATCGAATGTCGAGGTCGACTGGGATTCCGTCACCCTGACAAAAATGTCGAGCATGGTGGCGGTCCTGGAAAACATAGGGCAAACACCGACACCGAACAGATGGTGAGGTGTGGGGGCAGTTGGCGTCCGCGACTGAAAGTTATTGGCCCTTGTCCCCATTGGACAAAAAAAAAAGAGGAGACTGTCGCCTCGCAGCAAAACATGATTGGAGTGGGATTCGAACCCACGCCCTTGCGGACCAGAATGTACTACACATGAGATGCACCGCTCGGTGCTGGTCCTGAATCTGGCGCCTTAGACCACTCGGCCATCCAACCAGTTTGACAGGGTTGACGGAAAACGGTACCCATTGGCGGAGCAGACAAAGACTGTGAGTGCAGAAAAATCGAGGTCAACAGTTTGGGTACGGACACCAGTAGAAATAATCTAAGTACCTTCGGAAATAGATGTGTATTCAGTATTGACTGAGCTCGAGTTGTATGAAAACCAGTTTGGTCATGAGCATTATCAGTCCGAAATTGTACTGAGAAATATGCACCAGTGCGGGACCGGGTTTATTTTATTTGAACCAAAAACACCAGCCTATTCGACCGAATTGTAAAACCATCTATTTCGAGAAGTTGCCAAGGAGCATCACAGTCCCTGTCTACAATCCTGCTGCTTGAGAATTGGACTTCACAAGCAGCTGTTCGGCGTCCATGATAATATCCCGTCTATCAGAATATCACCGTTGTTGGAATGTTTTCATTCAACGACTGAAGGGTTCTGTCAATCTGATACTTCAACGTTAATACGTATCTCTCTCGCATTCCAAAAATACCTCCCACACATGGATATATATATTTTTGGGCCAGCTTCGAGCCTCGAGGAGTTAAATCGCCAAATCGCATTGCCCAGAAAATATCATATTCCGCGCTCATGGTTGGGTGGAACGGCAACGTGGAGGCAGCAGATGCGTAGTAGGTCGGCTACAATCCACTGACTGATCAGCGCTCAGCGCTCGCTCGAAACTCTTGAAACGTCGCAAGATGATCATGAAAGATCCACAAGGTATTTCCTCCTAATCCTCGCAAGTTGCAACCATAAATGTACAAGTATCAGCGCCCATATGCATGATACAACGATAGATATATCTATTTCTTGTACATCCAATCATATTGTACTCTTCGTATCTTCGGTTCGGAGATGAGTATACAGTCGGCAGTCGAGAGAGATGCATCGGTATTGGGAACGGACCCAAAATATGTACGTGCATTTCCTGGTCCCTTCACCGTAATTCGGTCGATAATCGCTCGGTGTGAGCGAGGCCTAGCAGGAGACAAACTATCCTTCGGTCGATTATGCGAAGGATTATGGGACGTAAAACGCAGTCGGTGGGCCCAACTGCGCTTGCCAGCTCTGCCATAGTTGCAGAACATCATGGGGAGTCTGTGGGATACTCTACATTATGAATGTGAGGCCCATTCAAAGTAGTTTGTGCAGGACGTACTTTTAACCACGCGATGACGGCTCGGATTTCAGATGGAATGCGAGAGTAGATGAATCGCGGCTCGCGCAGATCGAGAAGGAGTTCGGTGGATGGAATTGCGTGTGCGAGATGACGGGTCCATTTGCGGCGGACATACTGGTATACGCTACTACCCGAGGTTAGGTCGCACGCAGAATGGTCACGAATATGAACCCACAGATCAAGATGCTCCGTATTGTCCATGAACTCTCCGATATAGCGTATGCATCCACGCGCAAGCTCCGCGTGGTATTTCCCCGGTTCGATCCAAAATGGCATGGAGCGGTGGATGTCGACAAGGAATTCCACGGTGGAGGGCTGCGGGATGCGCACTCTCTGCAGCGGGGAAGATGTCAAGGGGTCGGGGACATCGACAAGAGCGTGCATGTCGCGCAGGGCTCTGCTAACCTCCCCGGGGCGTACGCCAATCAGCATCTCAAGTTCCTTTTGGGGAAGCGGCGCAAACAACACGACCAGGGGTCCCAGAATCCGCAAGAGGGCCGCAGGATTAGGGCTCGTGGAGAGAACGTGGTGGCAGAGCTGGTCGGTCGGCGACAGTGTCGATCCAGAGGCCGACACGGCGGCGACAACAGCTTCCGTCAACCGCTCCGCCGGCCGCCCAGAGTTGTCATCCACATATCTAAGAACGGTCGCGGGATACAGAAATTGGCCGCCGGATTTCTGTACGATGAGTTCGATAACATCCTCGGACGGCCATGGGTCTGGGATTCCAACCATGGCGTGCTGGTGGTACTGTCGGATGGCGGCAAATTCTGTTCGGAGAAACGTTCTGACATCCGTATCAGATACGAACACGTCGAGCGGGATGCGATTGGAAAGTTTGCGGTACACTGGCGTGTCAAATGTGGCCTGAAGATGCGGGTGTAGCCGACTCGTGATGAAGAAACATAGTGGAAGCCGGTGGACGACAATGAGCTGTGCGATGAGTGTCAAGATACGGTGCTGCATCTCAGCGCCCTCGCAAGCATCGAGAGCATCAATGATAATAAGAGTTGGAATCGGAGGGTGGCGAATCATATTGAATGGCTCAACGATGAGCTTTTGGATTTGCACCTCGAGTGAGTGAGAAAGTATCGATGCATTAGATTGGATTGCACGAGACAATGGTGCACGTAAGCCTGGGATCGCAGCGGCGAGTTTATAGGCGATGGTAGGGAAGAGGAGTCGTCCATTGCTAAGATCGCCTTTTCCGTGCGAAAAGAAAAACGTTGCGCCGAGCTGTCCGCTTTGAGCACAGTATTCGGCAACTGTCTGGGAGGTGGCAGACTTCCCGGAACCCGCCTCCCCATAAACCCACAAGATGCGTGGACCATGTAGCGCGTTCTTGGTCCAGGAAAGAATAATCTCGAAGACCATTTTGCGAGTCTGTGGGTGACACCGTGGAGGCGGATGTCGCTCAATGGAATCATACGACGCGCCGATGGCGATCGCACTGTGGAGCATATGCAAACCTTGGGATCGATTAGCACAGATACGCGTCGATGACTGCCACATACCATCTTCGCCAGTATATAGGCCAGGGTTGTTTTGGAAGCTGAATTGGGCGCGAGGGCTTGGTGTAAGAGGGGGTGGTGAATGCTGAAGACTGGGCGGGGATGGCTGGAAGGCCATTGTTGGGATTGGCGGGAAGTATGGATCGACGGTCGAGATGAGCTATATGATGTCGACGTCGGTGAATAACTTGAACCGGCTTTTGGCTGTGCATAAATCCTCAAGCGTCGAACATTTTCTAATGACCAATTTGGACATGGCGTTGACATCACTCAGTGACGAAATGGGACGGGAGAAATTTTGGATAGAGGCTGATGGAGGGCGATGCGTGCCACGATCGTCGGTGCCAGTGGCCGGGGAAAATTTTGAAGCCAGTTTCTGGAACAAATTGAAATTCAACAGAGACGCAAATTCCAGCAGAACGTATTGACGAAGTATTGGGATATGGTGACTCGAAAACAGTCGAAAGATTGGCACCCGGTGCCCGTCGCAAAGTGGTTGTCAAAGGAGGTCATTGTTTGGACGCAAGCCTGCAGCTACATACCGCACAGCCGCAATCAATAGATCATCATTGTTCGATCATTATCACTTGTCTTTCGCTTTTTGTTCTGCTTCCTCAAAAATCGCGTGGTCTGCTGTTGGCAGGACCTGCCGTTATAAGCACGGTAACAACTGGGCGGAAGAACAGGAAGCAGTTGGCAGATTCGGCCTCAGGCTGTGGCCCTCAACTTTCAAGAGACTCCGAGTCAAGGCGGCGGGACCAACTTGGTCACTTGGATATATGGACCCTGCTTGGAGCATGGTCCTTCCTGCCAACTTGACGTTATATTGAGCTGGGCGTTAGATGCCTGAAAAGGAATTCATCTCCTCAGGAGTCCCCAGGCGATCTTATTCAAACCTTAGCGAATTCCGAATTCCTACATCTCGGCAGCTTAAATCACATTAAGCCAATTTCGCAGCCACCGTTATTCCCTCTGGTGGTCGGACCTCGAGATCTCGCCACCGACCTCTCTAATGTTATCAATTTCATCTCGCATCACGGCCTCATGTCACTAAATCATCGGAGTGAGACGGTACAGTACAGATTTTCGGCCACAACACTTCGCCAACCTTCGGCCTGCACAATGTGACTGAATCCACGTCGGTTGACCGATTCATGCTGCAGCTTCTCTCTGTCCTCTCTGTTTTTGCTCTTCGACGATTTTACTTCTGAACACTTGACATTATGGGCGCCGCGGGGCACCGGTTCCGCATTAAATTAATCAACGGCCGTTCGTACGCACAGATGGATGATACAATAGGGACAGACCATGCTATTCAAGCGTGCACAGGCCAATAGGCCACGGCCTCGAGCAAATATGTCAGATCATTATCAACCCCATTCGGACGGCCCTGCGCTGTGGCCTAGTAGTAGGGACCCGGTCACCCGAGGCGCTTTATGAACTTTTGTTCTGTGATAATGATGCTCTGCCGCTGTCGTATTCGAATTCAATTTCAACTTTCAATGAATTCTCAGCCTCTTCCAAAGTGCTGTCGGAATACGAGGAATACTTAGACGGCAAGGAGCAGTTGACGAGCCACCGAAGCTCCTGCCCGTGGAGACTTCAGTAATGGCACTATTAAAGGCATTCATGCGCCAGTTATTGAACTTATTTATTGGTACGAAGTTTAAGCACGCAGTTTGCAGTTTGCAAGCAATTTCATTGTGTTAATCAGGATCCTTCAAGGTGAAGTGAAATCCAAAGTGTCTGGGTTGCACTAGCACTTCTCGGTAGTTGAAATGAAAGGTTCATACTGCTACCGCAGAAAGAACCGTCAGACTTTCCGCGGACATAGGAACTCGGAACATCTACGTATTTCGGCGAACCCTGCAGGTGCATGCATTTCGCTTGAACCAACCACAAAGTGATGGCATTAACACGTGTTTTCACAGCTCTAAGCCGCATATCGACAGTACCTGTAACTCCGCTCCAGGCCACAGACTTTATTGATGCGCAATGAAAAGCTTTGACTACACCTTCGTCGCCGTCCAAAAAGCAGCATGATAAACATACCCCAGCATACCCTGGGCATTGCTCGTGTACGTCGTGTCGATGGTGCGTTCGTTCTGCGGAAAATTGATTTATGGGTATTGCTCAGCCGAGTCACTCACCGATATTTGAAATCCGATCGCGCGCGCAAGAGCCTTCACCTCCTCAAGACTGAGCTCGATAGACGGGTCATTTGTGGTATTATTTTCCCAGTGCCACAAGAGCGGCCCTGCGCGCGCGGGTTGCAAATGTTGTCTCATACCGCGGG